TCATAATCTGGCGACAAACACCACGAGTATCCTTTGGACTGATCTATCAAATAGGTTTGATAGCCTCAATGAAACTAAATATTAAATAAAACAACTTCTTATCGCCTTTATTTTATTTCGACGTTAAGAAAGTAAATTTAACACATTGCACAAACGTATCTAGCCCAATTACACTAAAGCAGTAAAACGGAAATTAAGTTTTAAGATTGTCACTGAATTGCAGCATACTACTAGGTGAAAGTCCGGGTAGTTTTTTTTACTTTTCATGTATCATTCATTCAAACGCTCAGCTGCCTCCATAAACCCCTACTCGTGAAATGGAGGAGTTGACAGAGACAGCCGCCATCTTGGTCCCGCTTCAGATTTTCAGATGTTTGTATCTAGAGTTCAGACAAACCAATATCTAAACAACTTATATAGTAAGCATCAATCAAAGAGTCTCTATTGTCCTTCCAAAAATAAATAAAAAATACTGAAAAACAAAAAAGTTAGAAAAATGCGATTTTTTTCAATTTGCTCCCCTGATTTTGGTCAAAGCGTCCCCTGATTTTGGTCAAAGAGCCCCCTGAATTTGGTCAAAGCGTCCCCTGGCATATTTTATTGAAAAATGAAGTTTCCAAACCGCCCCCAAATTTTGGTCAAAATGTCCCCTGATTTTGGTCAAAATGTCCCCTGATCGCTTTGACTGGATTTCTGTATCACGATCTATTATCCCTGAAAGTTTTATGTTGATACCTTTTACCGCTTTTGAGTTTAATCGCAGACAAAATGTCATTTTAATTTCAGGAAATTGTCCGTAACTTGGCAGCAGAAGTGATTTTTCAAATTTTCTCTCGGATATAATAAATTCATGTAACATCACATTTTTCCTGATAATTTCATGTCATTCCAGGGGGTGGTCTGCGAGAAATCGCGTGCACAAAATTAGAAAGTCAAAAAAAAAATAAGAAAAATAACTAGATACGATCTCTTTGCGAGTAAGGAGAGGTCTTCCGTCGGATTCAGCAAAAAAACCCTCGTAAATTTGAACTGAAAAGTGTATTGAAATTTTGGTCACAAGGAGGATTGAATCCAGGTCGCCAACGTGAATGTGCATTTTCCCCTTTTATATCCCCAATGCGCAAACCATTAAGCTATTGGGGAACACTGCTTTTAATATACTTATGTATACTTTTACAACAGTACACCTGTCTAAGAATTATAAAAGGCGGACGACTATTGATAATTTCGCGACAAACGCCACGAGTAAATATTTGCGCCTTTTCTTTGGACTGATCTATTAAATATGTGTGAAAGTTTTAATGAAAGTAAATTTATTTTATTATATTTCAACGTAGAAAGTTTATTTAACACATCGTACACATTACATATCGTACCCAGCTCAGTTACACTAAAGCAGTGAAACGGAAATTAAGTTTTAAGATTGACACTGAATTGCATATTTTAGTCTTTTTTGTGGATATAAATGAGATTCTGTTATTAGATGAGCTATCTTTCTCTAAAGAACAATTTAATTCATTTGAATTTAAAGTTAAATGGGCACAGCAACTGAAAACAAGAGCTTTTCATAGTACGATGATACTGATGAAAACCCCGTTAAATTCAAGGTTCACCCCAACCAAGATTACTTAATTTTAATTAAGACCTTAGAAACTTTTTTATATACGTACATGTATATGATACATGATGTAACCCAACCCCCCTTTTTTCCTATATAAACACGGGGATATTGAAGTTCATGATCGATAACCGTGGATCTGTAAAAAGTGGGAATATTTGAATGCACCTTCTGCAATCTAAAACACGAGAACTAAAAAAAAATGATATATAGAAATACGAGGTTGATGACGACATCATAATTTTCCTGTCACAAGAAACGTGATTTTAAAACCTTACCAGCATTACGAGTATGCACGTTAATATACATGTACTGTAATGTTACGGTGCTGACACTTCTATACAGTTTGATTGAAAGAAAGTTTGAAAGAAACCCATGCCCCTAATGACCATTGTTTGTGAGACTGAACTTAAACAATTTTAAAAATTAATATTTTTACAGTTAAAAATTTTTGAAAAGCAGAATATAATCTTTGTTAAAATAAACTGATACACGTAGAAAAATTGATCTATAAATACACACAGAAACGTATAATTACATTGACAGAATTGCGTTTTAAGTCGAGGACGCGATAGAATCATTTTATTTTTCATAAATAAGTGAAATCATTTATCCGCAGGTTTAGTTTCACTTTCACACACCGCTGTCAATCGAATCCAGCTTTACTTATATGCTTAAAAACAATAATTGGAAAATTTACAAAAACATATTTTTGTGTTTGTAATTTATTCAACTGTAAATGCTATTTGACAATATATTTATATTTAACCCGAGTACAGAAGTTATGCTCTCTTTTGACATCGTTTTTTTCTCTCTCTCTCATTATATTGAAATGTAGGAGAACAATAAATAACACCTTGGAAAATTTACAAAAACATATTTTTGTGTTTGTAATTTATTCAACTGTAAATGCTATCTGACAATATATTTATATTTAACCCGAGAACAGAGGTTATGCTCTCTTTTGACATCGTTTTTTTCTCTCTCTCATTATATTGAAATGTAGGAGAACAATAAATTACACCTATGAAACATGCTGAAATCTTGCAAACATGCAACAGGATGTTTAAAGACAAACACTATATATTTGAAAATCATATATTTATGCAAAGTTTAAGTCAAGACAATAATATTTCCTAAAAATCACGCTGCATAAGACATGATCAGCTATATAAATATTAGTACTGAATGTAGCGAGTGGGTCTTACTGACGTCATAAGCCAAACTAGTTGAAGTTCATCTTCGCAGTCAAATACTTTTGATCGACTCTGCTGCCTCCAGCTTGCGTAAAAAATACAATATCTTATTTCAGGCTCATTATTGTTGCTCAGATGAACCCATTTCCGTATACAACCCAAAATGCACAGGACATTGTTTCGTATGACCTTTAATACAATAAAAGTACGCATTGCTTTCAGTAGTGTTATAGAAAGAAAATCATTGCAAATGTAAATATTGGTATAGGTATTTAAATTCGCTGTGTTTTTCTACAAATTAAGCCAACTGTGAAATTGATTTGAATACCATTTTTGTGTATACTCACTCAAAGAAATATACATGGAGAAACGTGCGTTAACGTGACGTCACAATGAGGCTGCAGCGAGGTAAGAAAACGGTAGTGCGTGGCAAGTCTGTGTGATTCACACACCAATAACTTACACAAAAGTTAAAAACATTCCTTAATAAGAGATGTAAATTAACTCCAGAATATGAATAGAAATATGTAAACATTAAACAAAAAAAATGTTTTTATTTTGCTATGCTGTTTCTGTCATTTTGATTAAAATCTACCACCGATGACGTTATGTGTGAACACCAAGTAACTTTGGGAATAAGATACGTAAAATGGAGTTTAAAAGCAAATATCATGGATATTTTGTGAAATTCATATGTTCATTTAATTAAACAGGTATGCGAATTTATATTCAATGATTACTAGTATATTCTCTTTTGAAGACAGTCAGCTATATACGTTTCCCGGTCGGCCTCTCCTCTATCATTTGTTATATATATAATGCAACAGAATAACAATAAGCTAGAGATATACATGGGATTCGTACAGAATGATGGAAAGATTGCCTCCTAAAATACTTGTAAAGTGCTGCTAGAATCCAGAGTTAAATATGTTTTTACGATAAATGTTTGGTTCGAATGTATAAAAATTCAAAACATCTGGTAAGGTTTCTTGCCAGTGAGTGAAATAATTAATTTACTGACGGGATAGTGGGATTCTAGCAGCACTTTTTAGGCAAAATAGATGTTTTTCAACATCTATTAATTTACACAAAGAAAGTATTAAATTTCGGGATATTGTTGTTCTGTAAGCTTTTTCATTACTGGATAAGGAAAAGTTCTCTATTAATAGAAGTCAAGTGATGCCGTGGTGCATGGTGGTGCACGTCTTTGCGATAGACACTTTTATCATAATGCAATAGATAATTATAGTTTACGTTTTTCAGCAGTTTGTGTAAATTATCAAACTTAATTTTTTTTAAGTCTAAATTTCCCAAGAGAATTGACTTATATGCTTCCTTAACATACCTGCGTTTTGAAATGTGTTAAGTTTTGGAGACACTACATAAAAAAAGGGGAAATCTACTATCATTTGATGAAAATATGATAACCTTATCCGTTGCCGTCGGACTGAACTGTGCAGACAGTATATGCGAGGCGTTTAAATTGCTTACGCTTGTTAATTATGGTGTTTATTATTTTAGATTTTAAAATTCAAATTGTTCATAATTTAGTTTTACATTGTTTTACTGTTTTGAATATTTACTTAATTATGGACTATATTAAGTTATTATTATAGTACATCTTTTGCCATTGAAGACTCTATTAAAAATGTAAATAAACATTTTTCCACAAACGTTTTGGACAACACTCGTATATACATGTATGTATTTAAAATATAGCTTATCCTTAGTATCTCCATGCAGTTTAAAAATTCGATTCGGGAAAGTGGCATGTGCATATAAATCAATTTAAAATTATATTCGTCAAGTAATTAAAAAATGTGTATAATTTTTGCTCTTACTTGAAAAGATTGAACAATATGAGAAGATAGGTGTTTTGGAGGGAACTTTTGGTAACTGTTAATTTGTTTTAATGTACATATGATGTTTTTTATTATAAAAATCAAGATTCCAAAATTTAAAAAAAAACCTTAAAAACGCTGTAAGCAACAACGGTAATTTGAAAACAGATCGTTGAGTTGATGACTTACTACTCAATTGAACTTGATCGTTTCTTCTTCTTGATCTTTTTTTCCAGAATTTAAAGGCAAACACTAAAGACAGTAGAAGTAGTAGAAAGAGGATAACTCCAACAATCACTCCTACATTGCTTGATTCTTGATCTACAATACTGATTTAAACAATACTTATTCAGTAAACTGTATAGATTTGGCAACAGGCTTAAGCCTATAAACACCCTCTCTATATAACAGGTCAAGGTTACAATACAATGAACAGAGTATGTATTTACAATTCATATCTACAATACTGGTCTTTGTTGTTTATATTTTCATCGTGGCATTTGTTGTGGTATTCAGAAAATAAACTGTTCTACTTGGATCGAATGTATAAGATTCTGACCTACAATCAACACATGTGCATATGTGCTTATTATAGGTATCGATAAATATGTTTCAATGTGTTGGAGGGAAAAATGATTATTCCTTCATCGCTTGATTAGTCAAGCACTGGTATTTTAAAAACTATTTAAATATTTATTAAGTTAATATTTTTATTACATGTAAGTCAATATCTTTTTGTTCATTTCAAGATTGAAGAACTAATGATTTGCAAGTATACATAAATATACATAAATATTGTCTCCAGAAACGTGTTATAAACATAACTTTGACAATGAAAATACAAGTAAGATCTAATCAAAACTAACCTGTCCAAACATGCTGGATCTGAATAAAAACAATGATTTTCTGTGTTGAGTCTACTGCAAGCTGGAACTAAACAAAGATGAAAATCAAATTGCTGAGTAAACAAGATTTACATTCGCGAACCACTTCACAAAATGATAAAATACAAACATTTGTATAAGCTGCTTCCTCGGAAATTTTCTTCTGGACAACCAGTTTTAAAGTTATGACAACTGATTTGATCTAAGTCTCCATTCCCAGTCGTCACCAAGCAATGGCCTTATTCAAAACAATTGAATGAATTTTGCACCGTATTGTCGCAACAGTGGTGAATAGTACAAATACATCTATTTACCCTTCTGATATAACCCGACAATTTTTCTGTAACAGAATTCCACAAGAGCTGATGTGTCTTCATTAGGGACACAGGTATACTGATTACGTCCAAACTCGTCCTCACTACAGTTCAGTCTGGTAGCAGCTGAGATAAACTCTGTCTTATTGGTAGGACAGGAATCCACCACGTAACCAAACCCTTGATAAGTCATATCTGAATAGAATTAATTACTTTGTTTTGTTTAAGATTTTTCTTGTATACTTATCTTAAGATAGACCAATTTTCAGGTTCATTAAAAATCTTAAGATAAGTAATTGACGTGCTCACAAAAACATATCTGAATTTCAAATGATGAATATTGGTCCAAGGTATTTCTTCAAAAATAGTCGTTACAGTTAATTATATACACTGTAATACAGGGTAAATTATGAAATTAATGTATATTCTAAAAAACAATGAAAGACACCATCTATGCAAGTTTTAATTGAAAACGTACTAACAATTATCTATATCTTGGCCCCTTGGGGATCCGGGTTAGAATAGATCCTCAGTACCCCCTTGCTGACTAAATGGGGTGGTCCTTCGGATGAGACCGTATAAACCGAGACCCCGTGTCACAGCAGGCCCCGGGATCATGAAACATCTTAGCTTAAGTCAAAAAATGTCTTAGATGCTGAACTTTTTTAGAGGTTAAGCAGCCCAAAATGAAAATGCTTTCAGATTTAGAATCATCAATCTGCTGTCATATGAAAATTAAGAGTTTCCTTTGACAAGTTTTAAAAATTTTATAGATGATAGAAATTTTGACTTAAGTCTAAGTCTGTTTCATGATCCTGGGGCCAGGTGTGGCACGATAAAATTCCCTCCCTGCTCAAAGGCCCTGAGTGAAGAGCATAGGCCTAAATTTGCAGCCCTTCATCGGCAATGGTGACGTCCCCATATCAGTGAAATATTCTGGAGCGGGACGTAAAACAGTATACAGTATACAATCTATATCTTGTATAAATGGTCATTTCCCTTCCTACGTCGATATATGATATATTGTAAAATGAGAATATTTGGCGCATTACTAATTTTAGCGCCTTTGTTGCAAGAGCTCCTGAGTGCTAAAATATTTTGTGCGCTAACAAATTTCAAAATATAAGTTTTTAGTGTGTTCAAGCCTTTTACATAAGTACTTGCAAACCGGAACGCGCTATATCGTAATGTCGAATGGTCGTTGGATTTTTATAAACACACTAGTATTGCACGTAGTAGGATCGATCGAAAAAATTCTTCAAGTTCATTTATTCACTCAAAACCATTTAAAATACATGGTACATGAGGACAATGAAGAATATTTATAGCATATTACATGTACATTCAGGTCAGAGGTGGGTCATTCTACGGATAGAGGCCCAAACGAACTTTCCAATTCAGTCGGAATTCATATAACCTATTTTATTCAATTTTTCAGCGTTATTTACTAAAGCTAACTTAGAGGAAACCATTTCAACATGCAGCAGCAATGTTTTACACATTTTATTGCTTATTTTGAGACTTAAACATACATACATGAAAAAAAATGTCATTACCGCAACAGACGACTAAATCGTCATAAAATATTGTTACAGTATTAAACCAATTTTTTCATAGTCTGAAGTAATAAACCTTAATAATATCTTACCTTCATGAATATTTGAGTGAAATATTTGCACAATATTTTTCGTACTGTGGTGTTAAATTTACATTTTTAAAAAATGCAAAATAACCATTGGTCAATAAACCACTTAGGAGTGTATATGATTATTTTACTTCCATTTTTCTAAGGTGTGAGATTTCACAGACTCATGCATGTTGATTAAACACTTTATTACATTTTTTATTAGATTAATTGATAATTAATTGACCTATTTTCTCCTCGTTATGGTAATGACAATGCGTTGCGGTAGTGACAATGCATTAAGAAACATGTGCTTTATACGAGGGGCGTTCAATAAATAATGTCATTAGCTTGATGACATACAACATAGTGGTCATATGACATAAAGCTTGACTTTTTCTCATTATTGAATCTTTAATGAATTTATAACAGTTTATTTGACCACTTTTCATCACATAGTTTTATCGTGAGAAGCTGGGAAACAAGGGCTATTCGAGACACTGCATTATGAATGAATGGTAAAGAATCAGTAAACTAGAGTGAAAATAAACGCTACATTAAACCTGCTGTAAATCGTGTTAAAAATCCTAAGGAAGTATAAACTGAAATATGTGACATTTACAGCAACCGATGCCTGTTTTATAGACAAATTAGCAGGTGGATTTCAAAGACAAAAATTATATAATGGGCATCAAAAATTGGTACCCTTCTTGCCAACAAAAATTATAACAACTTATGAACTGTTTGCCAAATTTCAACAAATAATATTTGATGTTGTATGATTGACTTTAAGACACATAGCAAATTTGATAGACATCATATCGGGAGTAGTTTACATGGTTTTTGAGAAACGTTTGACGGTAATTAAGCTTGGTACTCTAAGGTCACCCTGTATTTTGAAAAATGAGTGAAAACGACAGAGTGTACAAAAGTTTTAACAATTATTTTAAAGTATCAGTAATTGTAGTAATCCACGTTTGTTTTTTATTCAAACAGATACTGGAACATGAATCTATTGCTTAAAACCATTAAAACAAAATTTACCATAAGATGTACTTGATAAAAACGGCGAAGGTCTGTCAAGAGCAAAGGTATGCAAGAGCACAAAAACAAATTTATATGCAATTTTCTTAAATATTAGTGGTAATATTGTTCAAATTCGTATTCGGGGAGACAGTTTAATATCTGGAGGTGACGAGAAAGCATTTCTTTTTGCAAAGAAATTGAAAGGTTTATCAGAGAAAGGACCCAGAATCAGGAATTTACTACATTGAAATTCTGCATGACAGCGTTTAAACCCGCATACCCTAAAGAGTAAAGGGGTTACGGGATAAACAGAAAGTTAATGTTTTTTCACATTAACAATATTTGCCAGATCTTTGACCTTTTGTCTTGTTTCTATTTCCAAACTCGAATAAACACCTTTCAGAAGGAAAAAAACAAGTCCAGGAAATCATTGGATCTGCCATTTTCCAGTATACTAAGGGTCATACCAGAAATGAATTCTAAAAACAATCAGAAGTGGGATAAAAAATGTTACGGACATGTGTTTGAATTAAAATATATTAATAAGTAAAATCATGAAGACTAAATCATTGAAAAGCGTCGTTTGCTTCTTTCTGAGCCCCAATGACATTATTTATTGAACGCCCCTCGTAATGTTATACAACCCCCTCCCCCAGTAATGATGCCTTATATTTTCCAAATTTATTAAGAAACAGTCATGGCTTGATCAAAATTAATTTTTAAACAGGTAATTCATTATCATTTGAAAACAATTATTCAAAATACTGTGTTTTAGATGTAGGTAAGTCTCGCTATACCTCCCAGAACTGGAATCACATATAGGAGTTATTTGCAACAACCTCTTGTGCAGAAAACACTAGTATAATAGTGTTGTTAAATCAATGCACAAGACAATCTATAGATGATTTGTCATTACCGTAACACTGATTTCATTAACGAAACGATTTGATTTAATGGGTTTGTTTCGGTAATGACACGTTTCGGTAATGACATTTTGAAATTTTAAACTGAATACAAAGGGCGCTACTTGCCAAAAGGGCTTAAATAATGTACAACACAATTCAAACCCAATCTATATTTCTTTCTAAACAGTTGCATTTTTCCTAGGTGATCGTACTTTTATTGTAGCAAGCATTCGGTAATGACACTGAATAAACATACGCTCGAAGGTAAGACCATTAACAATGTGATATCTGCTTACTTAACCACAGGAGAGCGCTATGCTTTGTATCAAAAATGGCGGTTTCTGAAACTTTTAATCATGTGGCTTCTTCTTTTGTATTATCTTTCTTGTCTCTTATATTTTGCAGTTTTATCTCACCGTTCCGGAAATGACAAGAATATCACAAGAATATCAATGACGCCGTTTTACAAACAATAAATTATTTTAAAAAAAGATTTTAGTAACCCGTATCTTTTTTTAAATCAACAATGGAATATTTTATTATACCTTAGTAATCTCGACAGGTTTAATTTTGACAGAAAGGTCAGTTTTCACACACGCATATTCAATATTAAAAATTCGATCTTGTAGTTTGGGACATGGCATTTCAAAGCTAGTCCATGACATAATATTTTTAAGAATTGATATTGCTTTCAGTGGTGCCCTTATGGTGTGTATGCATATTTATTATATCCTTTTACAATATTTCAGATTTATTTTTAAAATTTCATAAATCAGGTATTGCTCAGAACATACTTAAATGACGGGACACCATTTGGGCCTCTATCCGTAGAATGACCCAGGTATAATATATGATATACATAATAAGACAATGAAATGGAAGAAAAAGAAAAAAATGAAGATAAAAAAATGGGGGGAATGGAAAAGGGGAGGAAAAATCACGTAATTATGAAATAATTAAGTGAGATTTTTTTTTATTTATGGAGGACAGACTAAATCATATATTTTTTATATAAACATACAGAGTTATTTAAGTGATATAGCATCTTGTCTTGTCATTAGTTCAGAGAAGTTAATAAGAATATTTGGTCTAGTAAAGTAGTATTCATTAATATACTTTTTCCTGATGTTTGACAGGGCAGTACATTCAAGTATAACATGGAATTCATAAGCAACATGATTAGCATTACAAAGTGTACATAATCTTTCACTTAATGGTATAGATGCCCATCTTCCAAGCTCAGCTGGTAGATGGTGATTAGTAGTGCGAAATTTGACATGTATTTTTCTAAATTTAAATGGCAAAATATTTAAATTCTTTTCACGCACAAAATATGTTTTAAAAATTTTATACAAAGTACCTTTAGAAGAACTGTTAATATCAGAATGCCATTTTTGTATAAATTGATCTTGTAATCTTTGTTTAAAGCAATATGAGCTGCATTTTGCTGGTAAAATGTGTTATTATGATCAATCTGTATGTACATGTAATCTAAACCTTTATGATCAATAAAACCAAAATAAAGTTTAAGAATGTTTCAGAAGAAATTTTTCAATAAAGCCCCGCCCTAACACCAGAGCCCCTGACTCTGGAGCCATAAAATTCCCAATTTTGGAAGAGGCAATCTTGCTTATCATAAC